CCCTGAGGTTATGTTTGGACAGAAGATGATGTGCTGACATTTTTTCCACAATGGTGCAGCTTTTTTGTTAAAAAAAGTGCTAGCTACAAAACTGCTATTTAGTGACATTGAAGTGAGAACGAGGGTAGGTTTAAAAATAGATAATCAAATACTTATTGTAATACACAATAGCCTGCACATAGGGAAAAAAACACGTCCTAATTTCTTCTCCTGTATGTGTGGGTTGTTTGTGCAATTGTTTCCAGTCAGTGGTATTGTACCTTTTTTATTCTTAAGTGGTAATGGGTGGTGTGTGTTACCTGTTAAGTGAATTTGAGGATATAGTCCCCCAGCACCGTCTCAGTTAGGCCTTGTGGGTTGGAAGTAGAACCCTGTCTATAGCTACAGGGCTGAGCTTGTACTTGTATTTTCAGTTCACTCTATCTTGGAAGAAAAGAGTGCCCAGCAGCAGTGCATGCCCGGCCTCAGCATAATTACTCGAACACAGGCTGTTAAAAATATCTGTAGCACATTCACTTAGCAGTATACCATATATTCAACAAGAAGTGATTTCACCTTCCAGATGGGCCCGCACTCAAAAGAACAAAGCCACTATGGGACATTTGGGCTTATTGAAGGCTAAATTGGCAAAACTGAGACGCGAATTAATTACCCCAAAGGAGGCTAGTGGTGACAGGTGAAGGCTTCGATGTTGCAAAGACTGGAGAATGCCGTATTTGGTTTTTGTGGTAGGTATTTTTCAGTATTAAAATTGTAAATATTGTAATTTACTTCTCTTGAGGCATATTTTTTTTTTTTTTTTTATTGTTAACAACACTGCCGATTCCACCAAGGCAAGGTGGCCCGAACAAAGAAAACCTTTCACCATCAGTCACTCCATCACTGTCTTGCCAGAAGGGTCTTTACAACTCTCAGTTTTTAAATTGCAACATTAACACCCCTTCCGTCAGCAGAGTCAGGCACTGTACTTCCCATCTCAAGGACTCGTGTCCGGCCTGCCGGTTTCCCTGAACCCTCATAAATGGTTACGTTCTCACACTCCACTGCATTCCAAGGAGTAAAAACTTTGTCTCCATTCACTCCTATCCAAACAACGCTCACGAATGCCTGCTGGAAGGTCCAAGCCCCTCACACACAAAACCTCCATTACCCCCTCCCTCCTCCAACCTTTCCTAGGCAACCCCTACCTCGCCTTCCTTCCGACCACTACAGCTAATACCCTTGAAAGTCATTCTGTTTTCGCTCCATTCTCTCGTCATGTCCAAACCACCTCATCATTGGGAGTTTGATACGTGGCTTAGGGAAGAAATACTCACGGAGGCCTGTTTATTACTTAATAATGCTGTTATGTGAGGGAGCCCCGCAGCCCGTTACCTATATCCTGGGTTACTCTCGAAAAACTGACTAGCCGCTGGACCAGTAACCCCGTAGTGGTCTTTTGATATAGGTCAGCTCAGCACAATATGAAAGACCGTGATCTCAAGACGGTTTGGGTCGTTGAGTCACGGACAGGTTACTGGTAACGGGACGACTACAGAAAGACGTTTCTGTTGCGGCAGTGCTCCTCACTAGAGTGTCTTGTAGTTGTTCCTATTGGTTCCGAATGGGTGATAACGTTCCTATTGACATGATTCCTGCAAAGTAAAAGGTCTATATTTTGTTGAACCACCCTTACATGTGTACGAATAGTAGAGACCATTTTCTACCTCCAACACTTCTGGTCACCGTGTTCGCCGTAGACAAATACCAATCTTGTGGACCTTGTTCACTATCCTTACCCTGTGCAGGAGAGGATGAGTTGTCAACTGAACCCAGTGGGTTGCTATTTTTCTGCCGGGGAGACCTCACCCACCTCACTGGATCAATCTGTTCCACCAGTTGAGGAGAAAGACTTAAGCTCCCACTGACTACCAATGAAGTCAAGCTTTGTTGACTCTGTTGAACAAACGTTCGTAAAGCCATTGCTTTACCAGTGAGAAGATGGGTAATAACGAGCTTATTGTCCCATCGTATTCCACTTAACCTGTACTAGACCTAACTACATAACCTGCGTACAGAATGCCTCATTACGAAGTTGCAGTCTGCAGAAGAATTGAATCAATCAAATGCGTGATGATGGATTATTGCACCTAGCAATACCCCTTGAATGCACCCTTGATACTAGTACCTAAGAAGGATGGTACTTGGCGTCCAGTAATTGACATTTAGGAAGTTTAAACCGAAAACCATTCCAGATCGTTTTCACTTCCCTGTACTGGTGACTTTACGTAATATCGGAGATAACAAAGTCTTTTCAAACTCCTAGATTGTTACAAGGGTTTGGCAAGTCCCCTCATGTCACGAGGACAGCCAAGAGCTAACTGCATTCCCACTCCTACAGGCATTATCACTTCCTCCGTATGGCATTTGGATTACGATCTTCCCCTATCGACGTTCTCAAGGCACATGACTAATATCTTTAAGGTCTCATAGGTAAAGCCGCCTTATGGTGTACTTATGACGTAATCGTCATGTCAAAAGACGTGGGATACACACTTGAAAAGACTTGAATGTAGTTACGTGGTAAGCTTGAAGAAGCCAATTTAAAGATCACACTTCAAAATGTCAATTTTTTCAAGAATCAGAAATTAAGTTTGCTTGGTCACGTAGTCACTCCTAGAGGGGTTACGACTGACCAAAGTAAAGTAACTGCAGTAATACTAAAATTATCCAACTCGCCAAAACTGTGATGCGTAAGATCCTTTGGTGGCTTAGCAGGTTTTTATAGATCTTCATTGCCAATTTGTCCTTCCATACTGCTCCCTACAGAGTTGCATAAGAAAGATGCGCCTTTTGTTTGGACCTTCCGTCAAGAAAAGCATTCCAACTCTAAAAGAAAAGCTAACTTCTGCTCCAATTTTGAAATTTCCAGATTTTTCCCTAAGCCTTTCTTTCTGACAACTGAGGCTAGTTCAAGGTGGCATAGGTGCCGTACTAGCTCAGAATACCGATGGCAAGTACAACGCAGTGGCATTTGCTAGCCGAGTCCTTACGATAGGCTAACGTATTAGAAACAGTACCTGAGCAAGAAGCTTTAAGCAAAGTAATGTCTTTAAACAACTTTCCGCGACATTATTTATCAGTACTCTGTTCATTCTTGACAGAATCATGCTCCACTGATACCTATAATCCCAGAACAAACAACCTACTGGAAGGTTAGCTAGATGGACCTTGACTATCCAAGAGTTCAAATCCCACCGCTGCACCATTATCATGTGGGAGTTCGATACGTGGATTAGGAAGGAAAACTCACGTAGGCTGGTATTACTTATAATTGCTGTTAGTGGAGGGAGCCCGCAGCCGTTACCTATCTCCTGTACACTCGTAAAAACTGACAAGCCGGCTGCCAGTACCCCCGTAGTGGGTCTGTTGAAATCGTGTCAGCTCAGCACAATTATGAAAGACCGTGACTCAAGACGGTTGGGTCGTTGAGTCGACGGACAGGTTACTGGTAACGGGTTACTACTACTGAGACCTCAAACAACCTTCCTTTCCTCAGGCCCTCGACAAGTTGTGGTATCCCGCACCTCCTCCTAACTTCCACACTATGAATTCTCCTGCGTTATATTCACACCACACATTGCCTCAGACATGAACTCTCCATTTCTGCCTCCACTTCGCCTGGCTGCAACCTTCAGCAACCATCTTCACAATCCCATATAAGAGCGTTGGTAAACTAACACTCATGACATTCCCCTCTTTGCTTCCGAGGACAAAGTTCTTTGTTTCCACAGACTCCTAATGCAACCGCTCACGCCTTTGCCCCCCTCTCAATTCCTATGATCACCTCATCTTCAGAACCCACCGCGGGACACGTCCCCCACTCCCAAATATCTGAATACAGCACCTCCTCTCCAATCTGATATCCAATCTTTCATCACCTATTCTTTTGTTATCCTCATAACTTACGCTTTCCTGTATTCCTTTTAATTTCTTTTCTTACTTTGCATACCCTACCAAAAATTCATCCACCAACCTCTGCAACTTCTCTCAGAATCTCCCAAGAGCACAGTGTCAGTCAGCAAAGACCACTGTGAACAACTCCCACCCCCCTTTGTGTGATTCATTATCTTTTAACGCCACGCCTCTTGCCAAGACCCTCGCCATTTACTCCCGCATTGTTACATCCTTAAATCACAGTGGGAATTCCATTTACGTGTTCTCACAGATTAATACACGTACGTACTTCCATTAATACATGAAAAAAATTGAAGACTGAAGCATACTCTTTGCTTTCTGCTGGGAAAATACCAATACCAGATTCTATTTTTACAATAATTTATACTTTATAAGTTAATTTATAGGATATTTTGCTAATGGGAAGGTGTGGAGTTAATAAATTTAGTAGTCAGAGCAGAAGAGGGGATGTTGAGGTGTTTGGTCATTTAGAGGAGGAATGGATCCAGTAGAACGACATGACAGCATATAAATCTATAGGGGAAGAAGGCGGGGTAGGGGTCGTCCTCGAAAGGGTTGGTGAGGGGGTAAAGGAGGTTTTGTGGGTAAGGGGCTTGGACTTCCAGCAAGCGTGCGTGAGCGTGTTAGATAGGAGTGAATGGAGACGAATGGTACTTGGGACCTGACGATCTGTTGGAGTGTGAGCAGGGTAATATTTAGTGAAGGGATTCAGGGAAACCGGTTATTTTCATATAGTCGGACTTGAGTCCTGGAAATGGGAAGTACAATGCCTGCACTTTAAAGGAGGGGTTTGGGATATTGGCAGTTTGGAGGGATATGTTGTGTATCTCTATGTGTGTATGCTTCTAGACTGTTGTATTCTGAGCACCTCTGCAAAAACAGTGATAATGTGCGAGTGTGGTGAAAGTGTTGAATGATGATGAAAGTATTTTCTTTTTGGGGATTTTCTTTCTTTTTTTGGGTCACCCTGCCTCGGTGGGAGACGGCCGACTTGTTGAAAAAAAAAAAAAAAAAAAAATTGCTAATGGCATATTTTCCTGCAGGTTTTCCATCAGTGGGCAAATCAACATTGTTAAGCAACCTGGCAGGTGTTTATTCAGAGGTGGCAGCATATGAGTTCACCACCCTAACCACTGTCCCAGGTTGCATTAAATACAAAGGGGCCAAAATTCAGGTAAGCTGTTGACTAACTTTTAGATCACTGTAGTATTTTTAAATTTTATATTGTAATTTGGTATATGTGGAGGCAAAAAATGTTAACTATGGAGGCAAAGAAGGGAATGTATGAAAGTATATTAGTACCAACACTTACATGGGTGTGAAGCTTGGGTTGTAAATGCTGCAGCGAGGAGGTGGTTGGAGGGAGTGGAGATGTCCTGTCTAAGGGCAATGTGTGGTGTAAATATTATGCAGAAAATACAGAGTGTGGAAATTAGGAGAAGGTGTGGAGTTAATAAAAGTATTAGTCAGAGGGCTGAAGAGGGTTTGTTCAGGTGGTTTGCTCATTTAGAGAGAATGGATCAAAGTAGAATGACATGGAGAGTGTATAAATCTGTATGGGAAGGAAGGCGGGGTAGGGGTAATCCTCGAAAAGGTTGGAGGGAGGGGGTAAAGGAGGTGTTGTGGGCGAGGGGCTTGGACTTCCAGCAAGTGTGTATGAGCGTATTAGATAGGAGTGAATGGAGACAAATGGTATTTGGGACCTGACGAGCTGTTGGAGTGTGAGCAGGGTAATATTTAGTGAAGGGATTCAGGGAAACTGGTTATTTTATATAACCGGACTTGAGTCCTGGAAATGGGAAGTACAATGCCTGCACTCTAAAGGAGGGGTTTGGGATATTAGCAGTTTGGAGGGATATGTTGTGTATCTTTATATGTATATGCTTCTAAACTGTTGTGTTCTGAGCACCTCTGCAAAAACAGTGATTATGTGTGAGTGAGGTGAAAGTGTTGAATGATGATGAAAGTATTTTCTTTTTGGAGATTTTCTTTCTTTTTGGGTCACCCTGCCTCGGTGGGAGACGGCCGACTTGTTAAAAAAAAAAAAAAAAAATTAGAGATATATGTTTTCTGAAAAACAGTGAGCCCAAATCAGTTACAAAATTTGGTATGCACACTTAATGTTGTATTATTCCCAGTTTTTAGTTTTGTGATACATTTAGGAATGTAGCACTGTACAGATTTGCAAGGACAATTGTATCTCAGTGCAATTGCAGTATGCAACTTGAGGGGATTCAAGGTTGAACCTTGGATGAAGCAGGATGTTGGTAAGTCTTCTAATACCTGTTAATTGTAAATAAATACCTGGGAGTTAGTCAGCTATTGTATGTCACATTCTGGGAAGGACCTAAAAGGAACTACAGTGGAACCCTGAATTTCGAACTTTCTTCGTTCCAGGAGGCTGTTCGAGTGCCGTTACTGAATGAATTTATTCCCATAAGGAATAACGTAAATTTGATTAGTCCATTTCAGTCCCTCAAAAATACACTTATGAAAGCACTTACAAAAATACACTTACATAATTGGTTGGGTTGGGAGTAGTTCGAAATTCGGGGTTCCACTGTACTGTGGAAATAGGCCACACTCCTTGTCTTTCTTGGGTTATCATGAGTTATTAACCCCTCTGGGAGTTGACAGTCAGAATTAACTTTTTTCTATCCAGCACCTAGGGAAAGGTGTAAAAAAATTTATTGCTATATACTACAGTGGAACCTCAAAAATCGAACTTAATCCGTTCCAGGAGCTAGTTCTAAATTCGAAAAGTCTGAAATTCGAAGCAGTATTTCCCATAAGAAATAATGGAAATACAATTAATCCGTTCCAGAAACCCAGAAATATCCACACAAAAAATACATTTTATAGAGGTTAATTACAGTTTTACATACAACAAATACTATAGTTATTAATTATGTTGGAGTGTGAGCAAAGTTACATTTATGAAGGGATTCAGGGAAACCAGCAGGCCGGACTTGAGTCCTGGAGATGGGAAGTACAGTGCCTGCACTCTGAAGGAGGGGTGTTAATGGTGCAGTTTAAAAACTGTAGTGTAAAGCACCCTTCTGACAAGACAGTGATGGAGTGAATGATGGTGAAAGTTTTTCTTTTTTGGGCCACCCTGCCTTGGTGGGAATCAGCTAGTGTGTTAATAAAAAATAATAAAATAATACATATAAAATAACATTTTTACTTACCTTTATTGAAGATTGGTGATGGCATCTGGAAGGTAGGGAGGAGGAGAGAGGGAGTTGGGGTTAGTGTTTAGAAGGAGAATCCCCCTCCATGAGGACTTCAGGTAAAGCCCTCTCTGGGGTTACTTCCCTTCTCTGTCTTTTAATGCCACTAGGACCAGCTTGAGAGTCACTGGACCCCTGTCTCACAAAATAACTGTCCACAGTCCTCTGTTTCTGGCACCTCTTTAACATTTCCCTAAAATGGGACATGGTTCTGTCACTGAACTTGTTGCAAAGATGGCTTGTTTCACTTGTTCAGGTTTGAATTCTTCACTGTCTATGTACCCCTTAAACTCCTGTACAAACTTCTCAGCCGCCCGTTTGTCTGAACTGGCTGCCTCACCATGTCTTAAAAAATTGTGTATGCCACTACGCTTCTTAAATCTGTCAAACCAGCCTCTGCTGGCCTTAAATTCACTATCAGCACTGGTTCCATGAGTTTTCTGTACCAGATTGGCATGCAACTTCCTTGCCTTTTCACAAATACAGTGGACCCCCGCATACCGTTGGCATCACATAACGTTAAATCCGCATAGTGATACATTTTATCACTAAGATTTTGCCTCGCATAGCGCTAAAAAACTCGCTCAATGCTATTCGTCCGAGACGCGTCTATGTGAGGCCTGAGCCAGCCTCACATGTTCCGCCGGTGGCATTGTTTACAAGCCAGCCTCCGCGGTAACATCCAAGCATACAATCGGAACATTTCGTATTATTACAGCGTTTTTGGTGATTTTATCTGCAAAATAAGTGACCATGGGCCCCAAGAAAGCTTCTAGTGCCAACCCTGTGAGAAATATTATCGAAATACTGTGGTACCATGGTCAACTGCTGATGCTGCTGCTGCTGCTGTAGCACCGTGAGCTGCGGCTGCTGCTGTACCACCATCAGCTGCTGCTGCTGTAGTACCGTCTGCTGCTGCTGTAGCACCGTCTGCTGCTGCTGTAGCACTGTCAGCTGCTGCTGTAGCACTGTCAGCTGCTGCTGCTGTAGCACTGTCAGCTGCTGCTGCTGTAGCACTGTCAGCTGCTGCTGCTGTAGCACTCAGCTGCTGCTGCTGTAGCACTGTCAGCTGCTGCTGCTGTAGCACTGTCAGCTGCTGCTGCTGTAGCACTGTCAGCTGCTGCTGCTGTAGCACTGTCAGCTGCTGCTGCTGTAGCACTGTCAGCTGCTGCTGCTGTAGCACTGTCAGCTGCTGCTGCTGTAGCACTGTCAGCTGCTGCTGCTGTAGCACTGTCAGCTGCTGCTGCTGTAGCACTGTCAGCTGCTGCTGCTGTAGCACTGTCAGCTGCTGCTGCTGTAGCACTGTCAACTGCTGCTGCTGTAGCACTGTCAGCTGCTGCTGCTGTAGCACTGTCAGCTGCTGCTGTTGTAGCACTGTCAGCTGCTGCTGCTGTAGCACTGTCAGCTGCTGCTGCTGTAGCACTGTCAGCTGCTGCTGTAGCACTGTCAGCTGCTGCTGCTGTAGCACTGTCAGCTGCTGCTGCTGCTGCTGTAGCACTGTCAGCTGCTGCTGCTGCTGCTGTAGCACTGTCAGCTGCTGCTGCTGCTGCTGCTGCTGTAGTACCGTCAGCTGCTGCTGCTGCTGTAGCACCGCCAGCTGCTGCTGCTGCTGCTGTAGTACCGTCTGCTGCTGCTGTAGCACTGTCTGCTGCTGCTGTAGCACCGTCAGCTGCTGCTGTAGCACTGTCAGCTGCTGCTGCTGCTCTGTCAGCTGCTGCTGCTGCTGCTGCTGCTGCTGCTGCTGTAGCACTGTCAGCTGCTGCTGCTGCTGCTGTAGCACCATTGTTGGTGTGGCTTATTGAGAATACCAAGAAACAATTAACCCCAGAGGGTTAGCCACCCAGGATAACCCAAAAAAAGTCAGTGTCATCGAAGACTGTCTAACTTATTTCCATTGGGGTCCTTAATCTTGTCTCCCAGGATGCAACCCACACCAGTCGACTAACACCCAGGTGAATAGGGAAAAATGCCTAGAACTAGTGCTCATATTGGTGAATTTAAAGCCAGCAAAGGTTGATTTGAGAGATTTAAGAATTGTAGTGGCATACACAGTGTGATAAGGCCTGTTCTGGAAGAAAATGCCAAACAGGACCTGCAGTACTCAGGAGGAAAAGGCACTCCCATAACACAGTGTCTCATCAGTCATTGCTGCATCTTCAATAAAGGTAAGTGTCATTTATTCTTCATTTAGAAGAGTAGTACATGCACAATATATATTGTGCATGTACAGTGGACCCCCGGTTAACGATATTTTTTCAATCCAGAAGTATGTTCAGGTGCCAGTACTGACCGAATTTGTTCCCATAAGAAATATCGTGAAGTAGATTAGTCCATTTCAGACCCCCAAACATACACATACAAACGCACTTACATAAATACACTTACATAATTGGTCACATTCGGAGGTAATCGTTATGCGGGGGTCCACTGTACTACTCTACATTTGTGCATGTATCCTTCTCTTTGTGTGTAGGAAAATGTATATTTCATGTGGTAAAATTTTTTTTTCACACCTTTGGGTGTCTTGCACGGATTAATTTGATTTCCATTATTTCTCATGGGGAAAATTCATTCGCATAACGACAATTTTGCATAACAATGAGCTCTCAGGAATGGATTAATATCGTTATGCGGGGGTCCACTGTAATCACCTCTGAAACACTATCACCTGCAATCTCTTTATCCTTGATCCACACCAGCAACAACTTCTCAACCTCTTCAACTATTTGTGGTCTTTTTTTGGTTAGCATATTAACACCTTTTGCAACATCAGGATAGAACCGATGGTCGACTTGTTTTTCCCATACATCCTGGCAAGCTCAACAAGTCTCACATCACTCTCATACTTCTGTATTACAGTGGACCCCCGGTTAACGATTTTAATCCGTGCAAGAGGGGTAATTGTTATGCGAAATAATCGCTATGTGAATGAATTTTCCCC